AAACGAAATTCCTTAAATTTTCAAACTTAATTTGAATAAGCTTTAAAATGGAAACTCTTTACTAATCAACAGTGTCTGATTTTCCCATGCTGGTCCTCCTTATACACATTTTTCTGTTTATGTCTTGAAAATATAGAATTCGAAAAAATTCAGATGAAACTTTTTCTGCTATATATTAATTTGCAGAGAACAATTAAATCAAATACTGATTATCAATTAATACATATTAAAATGAGTATAGTTAAAAATTAGTCATTAAAAAACAAAAATTACTAACATTTTCTCACTTGAAGGTAAATAATGTAATGATAGACAATTTGCAGAATTATAATTCCAGTTGTACTGTAAATCAATAAAAATGTCACCATGTGATATTTTGATCCAATTTAGTTTCGTTTAGAGAAATAGTTGAATATGTTTGATATAAGATGTATATCATGTTTCAGATTAATTGTTCAAAATTTTAGTTACATGATTTACAACTTTTTTCATTTTCAAAGTGGTTGAAACATTTTTTCTCAGTTTTATGTTCTGAAGAATAATTCGTGCATAATATTATTATTGATTAATATTAATATTAGTTACAAACAACCACCACAATCGTATTTCAACAGCTAGGACCTCGTTAACCTATTTAAGCTCATTTTTCAATGCAATAACCAAGTAATTCATATATTTTTTTCTAATCTCCTACAGATTTTTAACCACGTACAATTTCATACCCCACACATTATCCTAAAAATTTTGGAATGTGAATTTTCCTATTTTAAAATCCATATTACTCAGTATGAATGTCAGTAGGCACTATTCAGCATATCTTCATAAAATTGGTTAGTTGTTTACATAAATACTTCATAGATTGCTTCTGTTTCTCAATAGGGTACCTTTTTAGCAAATATGCTGATGTCATGAAAAATCCATTTTCATTTTGAATAGTTCTAAAAATATAATGAACATTGTTTCCATTATGTGTCACATAGGAATAAATAAGTATAATAACAATAAACTTAATAAAAACATTACAAATAACATCATTTTAGTACCATTAACACATGTAATGATATGAAAACGATTCACATATCTATACTGAAAAATGCTTTCATTTTCGGAACTGCTATCTTCACTGGATGATAATCGGACTTCGTGTATCATCAAGAATTCAACCTGTAATTGAAAAATATGACATTAGGCAAAGGCTTTTTTCTTTCAAGAGTTTTATAAAAAGTTCCTGTATGATTAAGACAAAATCAATTTTATTTTTGGATATTGTACCATCATTTGGGACAAAATATTTTTCTATATAATATTTTACATTTTCCTAAATAAGGTTCTATATACTCTTTGAAATATTCATTGGTCACGTGAAACCTTTCACCAAATTTCTCTTTTGAGTCAGTATTATTTCTCATTCAGTATATTATTGATGTTTTGACACTCCACAGAGGTATTGGGGATGATTCTGCTCTAAATACATATAACATCAGTTGGAAGATTTGACATTATACATGTTCGTTAGTGGTATGTTGTTCTCTATCTTTATCTTATTGAAACATTTTTGTTCAACTATTTACATAAAAAATTCTGAAATGACCAATTATTAACATTTGATTCAAAAATTATAAGGTTTCATATGAAATTTCCAAATGTCTCTGAATAGTTATGTCAATTTGGCACTTAATCTAAAAACACCTACTAGTGTGGTATGGAAATAAGGTAAAGTATATATTCTTAGATGTTGGTCATTGAAAACACAATTATCACAATTAACCGCACTTTTTACAATAGCACCGTTGACGGCTATAATCAGCAAACCATATTTTGAAAGGCATTAATGAAAATTCAGTTGGTGCTACTCGGAAATGAAATGTTTTTTGTCATAAAAGAATCATTTGCCCTAACTGAAATTTTTTTTGTTAATTGTGAATAAATAAAATAGTTATCTGTAACAGGACTGTTATCATTCACTACAAATAGTTTCTGCCAAAAACACGATATTTGCCTGTAAAGAAATTGGCAGATCCTACAATCCTTCGATGGAGATGGTTATTGGAAGTGATGAAAGGACATTAATCATGAACCTCCAACCACTCAAACTCTATACCCTCATTTGATTACTTAAAACCAATTTTCCAAGTAGACTTGTGGTGTCTTTTGTAAGGTCTCTTTTCGTAAAAATCAAGGAAATACTCATAAAATTAATTTCACCCTTTATTTATTTCAAATAATGAATTAGTATTATTGAGACACCAACTAGTGAACAATTAAAAAATAAGTCTTTTTTTGATAACTTATCATTTGAAGTCCAGAATTCAGTTCCTAGTATCCTGCCAATTCAACAATTGAGCTGATTGAGGATATCTTAGACAGAAATCATGTTAATCCTGCAGTTAACACAGGTAATGGATTTACTTACTATTTGTCTATCACAAAATTATTTACAGTTGGAGATTTCATTCATGTAGGGAAGGGCTAATAATGAGACACCCTTTTAGTCCTTTGCTAACTGAAACTTTTATGTATAACCTAGACTACTTAGAGGGTGAAATCAATGGATTATGGATTTTATTCCCTTGGTTTCTCAAACTAGTACAGATATGTATATCATATAAAATTCCTCGACACATCCCTATGAGCATAAAGTAGTAACATTCAATATTCTTCATAAACTACTGAATACTCCGCTACTGGAAAATAATTTTCAGAGACAACCGAGTTTACCAAACGAATTTTTGTGAACAGCTTTGGCAGAGGAGCATGAGTTCGATCACAACTATGATGCGTTATAATTGGAAGAGAAAGGTTTGGAATTCAATCTTCTGGAATGCTAAGAAATCATAAATTCAAGAATTCATAACATTTACTAAGTGACCAAGATTAATTGAATTATTTCTCCTTCGTGAATTTGTTTGCTATTGTTGACATTGGTAATTATTGGATACTCTATCTTATATGATTTTATTTCATTAAATGTGCATTTAAATGCATTAGTCTGTTAAATCTATAAATTGGTAACCAGTTTACACATTAGTTCTGGTAAAATTTTTAGTTATTAAGTAAAAAAGTCATAATTTGAATTATTGATTTATGTTAAGAACTGAATAGATAGAATTTTGTTGATATGAACACGCCTGAGAAACACGTGTTGCGGTTTTGTAAACTGTTGAGTAAAAAAAAAGTGTTACTTAAATACAATTTCTGTCTGTGCAATATTATTTACTGTATTAGTGTGGAACAGAAAATCATTTCAATGTATAAAATGACTTGCGATAATAAAATTCACTAACTTAAGAGTTCCAGGAACGCTCGGCAATCGCGACTGGTGTCCAAAATCCAAATGAAGGGAAGACGAGTCGTGAGCTGATGACATGTCTTGGTGTGAGGGCAAACCAAACAGCATTTCAGCAGGTTGAGCAGTTCTTCTCCTTATTTTGGAACGACTGGAGTGTGTGTGAGATTGATGAGATTCAGGAATAGATAGGCTGAAATTTCAATGAATCTCCATTAGCTTCCATGAAAAATCGTTATACAAAGCATTCAGAATAATATTGGCTATTTCTTAGTTCACGTTCAACTTCATTGAATATGTTGTTTTTCAAAACTCCACTAGAAAATATTGTTTCTCTTTGTTTAACATTTTCGGGCCTCGTTTGTTGCGACTCATTCCATTCTTCAAATAGTAATTTCAATTTCACAATATAATTATTAGCAATTTTAAAGTAATGTTATGTTCAACGTGTTGACATGGTCGACCAAAATCCTAAATCTATATTTCTCAGATTATGATTCTCTGCTGGTAATTTTTTATCCACTTATTTTACGAAAATCCATATAAGCAAGTTAATATTTCCTTCATTAGGTACATATTCATATATTTCAAATTTTAAAAATAATTTCTGTTGACCTTCAAGTTGTTTTTTGAATTAAAATACTTTTTTACCATTGACGGCATTCAAAATCTCTTTTCATGGCTCGAAAAATTAGAGAAAATCATTTTCACTGGTCACCAAGAAGCACTCAATCAGTTGGTTATTCAGTTAGATTATGTTTGGTTATTCAGTAAGACTATCACTAAGACTATCTTCAGACTATGATCTGTCTGCAAGAATAATGAACCATTGTTAGTCAATATTAAGTCGAGTATGAAATATAGTTGTTTCTTGAATAACTTTTGCCAAGATTCCAATCACCAATGACTTCCTTTCTATTGATATGATCATTTGTGATTTTCCATCAGACTTTGTCAGTATAAATAGTTATTCAATTTCACAAGGCAAGTGTTGCATGACAAAACGATGAAAGCATGCAGCAATGTACTTACTGCATTTCTGAAGGGGCAGGGGAAGGAGACCTTGAAGAATTGGAACTAGTGGTATCATTAGTATTACTTGAAATACTTGTTATGAGTTCCTTGGAGAAAATTGGAATTTCATTATGAAGGACATGGTCCAATAGCTGTCCTTTGACATTATTTTCTTGTTGTAACTGAAATTAAGTTCCATTCGAATATTGTTGATATGTTGGGATAATTTCAAGAAATCAAGAACGTACCTCGGCAAGCGTTGCTTCATTTTCTCTTAATTTGGCATCTCTTTGGGCGACTGCATGACTTTGACTGAGAGTCATATTGTATAGCTTTTGTATCATATACTTGGCTTCCTCGATATCATAAATTGTTGTAATAATTTGTTGCAAATCTGTATCTTCATTAGGATCTTGGGTCTCTTCAATTTCCATAAAATTGTGTTGTATTTCAGCAATTGTTTCTTGAACATAATTGATGTTTTCTTTGATATCCTCAATATAGCTATCCAGCTGAGTTGTATCATGATTTTTTTCGAAAGCTTGTTTCCTTCTTTCTTCTAGGCCTTCAAGTTCTTTTCCTGAAATAAAAGTATTTTTGAACAAAATGAGAATGACTTTTTATACAGTATTTAAGAGAACTTACCAAGAACGTTTCGTTTTTCTAGAAAATGATCCATTCTCACTTCCTGTTCGACAAGTCCTTTTTTACTTAAAGTTATTTTGTTGATAGCTTTTTCAACTTTAAGCCACTTTTGTTTGGCGTTCTTCTCAGAATAATTTCTAGCAATTTTTCCTGCTGCCCCCATACTGAGTCTGCCTCTTTGATTTTTTCTCAATACAGATACTTCTTCTTGTTTTCTTTTTAGCACTTGATCCTTAATCTTTTGCTCATTCTGCATTGATTTGATCATATTGGCATTCTTTCTTGATTCTTTACGAAGTTGAGCAATTTCTCTTATTCTTCTTGATTCAGATTCTTTGTGCCTGTTTGATTCCTCTTTCATTTTATTCATCAACCTTACTTTGGCTCGTTTCATCTCCAGAACCTCATTTTTATAGGATTTCAGTTGATTTTCATACTGGCTCTGGCTTCTTATCAGCCGTGTATGCTCTTTCTTAGCAGCTTGAAGCCTATTTAGTTCTTTCTGCATGTCAGATATCTTTTTGGTGTATTCGTCTTTAACTCTCTTTATTTTATCCAAAGGTTCTGGACTTGCACCGTAAGAATGTAAAATCTTGTCTCTTTCTTCTTGGGTTGTTTGGATTCTGACCTGAAGTTGCATAAGCTTATCCTCGTAGTTTTGTCTCATAGTTTGCATTCGACGCTGAGAGAGCTCTAGTTCATCTATTAATTTCTGTTTCATATCGATATCATTCATTAACGTGATAAGTTCATCTTTAAGTTCATTAGGTAGTTCTTTTTCTTCGCTTTCACTTTCACTATCATTATCACTTTCACCATCAAACTCATTTTCTAATTCTAAAGACCTCCTATTGAGTACTTCTTTTTCTTTCTGTAGGTCTTTTTTTGCCTTTTCGATTAGTGATGAATTTTCTTCCATTGAACACTCCAAAATTGACATTTGATGCATTCCATGAGAACGAGTGAGTTGTTTCCTCAGCTGCTCGCAAGTATTATTAGCTTCCATTAACTTAGCTCTCAGTTCCTCGATTTCTCTCAAATAACCTTGAATCATGTAAGATACATCTTGATCACTACCCGATGCACCACTAATCCAACCGCCGGTGGCTCTTTCTGCGAGAAGATTTGTATTTTTGAGAGTGAGTGCATCGATTGTTTCCTGCATAGCTTTCACCCTTGTTCTTAGATTATTAACTTCCCCTTGCAACATGTTATTTTCATAAAACATGTCATTCACTGTTTCTATACCATCTTCTCCAATGATACGTTTACCCTGTTTGTACTCTACTAGCTCTAGTTGCAATTGAGCTATCTGTTGCTTCAACTGAGAAATAGTTTTGGAACTCTTATCTTGATTAATACATATTTTATTTTTGATATTACGCGCTCTGTTGGCATATTTCAATGTATTTAATGTCTCCATAAAATCTCTATCACTAGGGCTAACACAGGCTATCATCACAGTTTGACTATTACCACCAAGGCTATCTTGCAACAACCTAGTGAGTTTAGAATCTCTATAAGGTATATGCAGAGCCTTTTTAGTCTTATCACCTAATGCTGATATAACATTTCCTAATGCTAATAAACCACAGTTGATGGAAATTCCTTCTTTTTGTCGTTCCCCAGTAGCTCCCGTCCTTTTGAGCCTTTCTGAACCAGCAAGATCAACGAAGTGGAATTTGGCAGTAAGAGTTTCCCACTCCGTAGACGACGATTCGTCTTCAGAGGGAACATATCGTCGTTGCTTAATATGTAGTGTAAATATTGCGTGAGATCGAGACGACTGAGTGTTCATTTGGGTACTGGCCGTTGTTCGAGAAAGTGCTCCCAGCCTCAAGTATTGAAGGGCTTCTTCAGCAGACATGACAGTTCTGGAAGTTACACCCTTCACTTGAATGCCACTGTAGGGGTCTTCATGAATTTTATACGCCTTGTCCTGAAAGAAAAAAGTTATTACTTGATATCGAGCAAGAAATTAAGAAATATTTGTAAACAATATATTTATTGAAATAGAAAAGTTACTCGCCGGTGGTGTTATCGTATCGGGTAAATAGTGAACTGTTATTTGAATTCAAAGATATTTCATTATGAGCACTTCTTCTCCTAATCCTCCTGGATCCCATCTTAGTTTTCAACATTATTTTTTCCGGAAGCAGTTTGGATCAAAACAGCCAAAACGAGAAATGGGTGTCTTAATCATAAATTTATTCAACCATTACGGAGTTATTATTCGGTGCATTCTGTATTGGGGGTTATTATATCCATTACAGAACAACTTAAGAAATACAAATTAGATTGCTATGGAGTCGGCTAGATACATATAATATGTTTTCAGATCGTGAGCAAATCTGCTGCCGATTGAATTATATATGAGAACAATAGTGGAAACATTCCGGCAAATCCAAGAGCTTTTATATTTACTTAGTGTCAGGGTTTTAAAAACAACTCAGTATCTAGGAATTATCGATAGTAGGTAATGTCATGCCGTGGCCTCTGCGTACGCCGCTGTCAAATAATAAAGTATCGAACATCACAGCGCCACGCGAAAAAAACGGATGGAAATTCTTGCTGAATAACAAAAATGTACAGACGTGGTGTACGGGGCCATACATTAAGTCCGCAATGGAAATTTTTTTCCAAATTTGAACTTTCCACTGTTACTCAGACTTTTTTCCAATTTTTTTTAGTTTTTCGAACCTTTAGCTTTACCGATTCGAACGAAACATGATTAAAATTATATAATTTTAATGAATACGAGACTTTGTTGTCATATCTTGCCCACATTGACCTGTTATCAGAAAAAAAGCACCTCCAGAAATTCATCTTTATTGTTGCAGTTTATCTAGTTTTTTGATTTCATTGTGAAACGGATTCGGATTTTCGGTGTACTGTGTGGACGTTAATATCAGTAATCGAATAAATGAATTATTCTTTATTCTTATTACACTCGTATTTCACAGACTCTTATCACGTTTGATAATCTTCTTCACCAAGAATTTAGCTGCAGATGAGTTCGAATCGGATGAGTTAAATCAATTTGAATCAGATGAGTTGATCTAATAGTTTACATCCATCAGTGTTACTGTTGGATGTAGTTTTCGAGCAAATGATAATTTTTTGCAACGTTTGTTGAATCAATTTCATGAATCTGAAATTCTTTATTTTCACCATTACTGAGATGTGTAAAAAAATTAACCAAAATAACTATAACCAAGTTCACAACAAAACATCTTAACATTCATTTATTCATCTCAATAATCCTATGATGACCCGAATTCAGTATGCCGCCCTTTCCGTTCTATACAAATTATAGCCCATTCATCCACAGACTTTGTGGCATTTTTAATAAATAGAGGATTTATGTTAGCACAACACTCCCGAATGATATTCTCTAAATGTTCTTTATTTGCAAAGGGTTTGTGCTTGTACACTTTTTGTTTCAGATATCCCCATAAAAAAAATAATTGGAGATAAGTCCAGTGATCTTCGTTTTTGTCCCTAAATATCTGACTGAGAGACTGTTTCATTTCTACCGTTTGGTAGATTGGTGCCCCGTCAAGTTGATACCATGAATTTCGCCTAACATTCAGATTCAGATTATCCAAAACTTGAGACAACTGATTCATTTCAAAATGTATGTACATGTATGCGTTAAAATTCTCTATAAAAATATGGTCCAATTATTTGGTTATGTAATAACCTACACCACACATTTGTCTTAAATGAATATTGGTCACAGCATTCTATTACAAAATTTGGATTATTGTTGGACCACCAGTGACAATTTTGTGCACTAATTGTTCCGTTCGACGTGAAAGTTGCCTCGTCTGTCGTATAATCCTGTAGGGCAATTTGATATCATTTTTCCGCTCACCTTGGAACTGAATTGAAAATCCTACTCTAATATCGAGTACGAGTGTGTACGAACTTTGTCTTCAACAGATGTGCAACATTTTTCTCACAGTTCTCTACCAACCCCTGTATTTTCACTAATACTCCCAATATTATTTTCTTCGTTTTCAACAACGCTTGAAAAACCGTTGAGTTGTTCTTATCATACCTTATTGGATTTATATGGTTTTTTGAAACGATTGTCTACAGAGTCTATTTTTTTAAAATATTTTCAACATACTTCCTATGGTACACTATAGTGAATATGTATTTCTGAACGCCGGTGATTGAAAATACAAGCAACATTCTCACCACATAAAAAGAACGATTTCCACTTTGTCTCGTGTGGATAACATTGTACATAAACCTTATTTGTGAATTATGAATGTACCAAAATATGTACACAAAACAACTCCATTCATTCAACGAAATAATTTGACATTACCCAAATTGAAAATTTCAAAAGCTTTCAGAGGAAAAATCAAATTTCGATTCAATGAATTGTACTTTTTTCTTCCAGAGATGTTGCGTCAGTCTTGTATTGTTTAAAATCACGAAATTTTATATCATGTTTGTTTAGTCTAAGTCGCCAGAACGAAATTCTTTTGAACAGCAATGAAACTATATTAGGATTTTTTGTTAAGTTTATAGAAATGTATGATATTTCGGGTTTGGAACTGAATTATTGGTCAAAAAATTATTAAACAATTACGAGTGGAATAATAACGAAGAGAAACTCATTTATTCGATTACTGACATATCAATTTCCTTATCTTCAAAATCCGAATCAGTTTCACAATGAAATGAAAAATCTAGAACTTTGGAACAACAAAGACAAATTTCTGGAGGTGCATTTATTTTTTTCTGATAACAGGCGAATGTGGATGTTTTCTGGGCAAGATATGTACATTGGAGTCACGTATTCATTAAAACTATGAAATTTTAATCATGTTTCGTTAGAATCGGCAGAGTGAAAAAACCCCGGTTTTTTGAGAATTTGACAGGTTTGGAGTATCATACGACAAATGGAATCAAATGCAGAATCAAATTTTGAAATAATCCATTGATAAAAATAACTTTCATATAAATATACATACAAATACATGCAGGTTCAGGTGAAAACACCTTACCCCTTGCACGTTGCACAGGTGCAACGTCTTCGATTTGGAACTTGCGACTTGTGACTCAACAAGATTCCCTCGATCCATAGCTATCAGAGGAAACAATTTTTCGAATGGCTCAACTTTTCTGCAATCATTTCGATGAATACTATCTTTCAAAATAATTTTCTCGCATACTGGGTGATTCAGCCGAGCGTGGCCAATTTTTTACTCTATTCTCTCCAACCCAACGGTTATTGCCGAAAAACATATGGATATTTAGAACGTAGCCAGTTGGGATGTTTCATTAACACTTTGATAGATTAAGACGAGGGCCCAAGTGGACGACCCTTCTCGAATATATTCATGACCCTGACCGTATTATCAGTGACTCGAGAAACATTTTTAGCAGAGGCATTCATTCATTCTGTTCTGGGATTTCGGCCGGGCTAATCCTAATTTTCATTCTCCTCGCCACGAGGTTACGCTGTATTTTTCTGTTTGCCGTTTTGTTGTGGTCATTAATAAATTTTATTATTTATAAACGCTGTGTCCGCCTGATTAATAATTCACCTATCACCTGTTCCGAGTGGATTTTTTTAGGAATAGGTAGTCAACATCACTATGATTTCGGGAATCTCAACTTTTGGAAGCAATAAATAGGGTGCATTCATTTTCAAACAGACGTAATTCAACTTTTTCAAATGTAACACCCTGTATTTTTTCATTTGTATGAAAAAACCACGTTATCCATGACTGACATCAAAAAATGAATCTGGGAATTTGTCAATAACGCCATGTGTTGAAGTTTCTTTCGCATGTATATTGAATCATTTTCATTATGAATTGTGTATTGGAAGATATAGTGCAAATGGTCTATGCCTTGGGGGAAAGTGACGGAAACTGCCTCCTTGCATCTAGGATTCACAAAGAGAATTTTACAAAGGAAGACAACCAGATGAAAGGGCATTTCAGGCTCTAAAAACAAGATTTGAAAGAACTGGTAATATCAATCACGAGAAGTTCGAACGTGTCTGCCCTGTAACAAATGAAGAGAATACATTGCAAATTGCTCTTCACTTTGTTGAAAATTCCCATGTGAGTACCCGAAGCCTGAGCAGGGAATTAGGATTTTCTCAAACCAGCGTGTCTCGAATGATACGAGCAAGCAAATTTCATTCTTAACACATGCAATTGATGTAAGAGTTAAGAGGAAGATATTTTGCCAAAGGGGTATAGAAAATATCAATCAGGAAAAGTATTTTTTCGATTTCGTGTTATTTTCTGATGCAGCGACTTTTCATAAAAATGGAAATGAGAATCGGCATAACATGCATTATTATGCAACGGAAAACCCCCATTTTGTTCGTTGCCTGAACCATCAACAGCGTTGGTCACTAAATGTTTGGGAGAGAATTCTCGGAAAAAGAGTTATCGGTCCGTATTTTTTGGATGGGCATCTCACGGAAAGAAAATATGTAAGATTTTTTTGGAATGAGTTTTCGAATATATTGGACGGGGTTCCATATGGAACGAGACTTTGAATGTGGCTACAACAAGACGGTGCACCACCACATTTTAAAACTGAGGTACAGGAATACCTCAACGATCATTTCAATCAAAAATGGATAGGTAGGGGTGGGCCTGTGGCGTGGCCACCGAGATCACCTGACCAAAATGGATATTTTTTATGGGGGTATATCGAATGGATTATCTACCAAACTCCTCCAACATCTATATAAGACATGAAACGAAGAATCACTGTAGCTTTTAGGAAAATCCCAGAGGATATGCTGGAACTTGTAGAAAATTCGTTTAAAAAAAGACTGACATTATGTGTTGCAGAANTGAGTATCCCAAACAAACAAAATTAATTCCAACTAGTCATAAGCTCTATCTGCACTTAATTCAGTAGGATGTACCACTGCGCCACCTGCAGTCCGGAAACACATTCCAAATGAATGATTTTATGGTAATATATTATAATTTTCGGTAACTACTGGAGATAGTCTGACGAAGTTTCAAAAATTCAGTATTACGTAAATAACATATCTCAATCTTGTAGGTGTTCGAATTTGATTTTCAATTACATGAATTTTTTAATTTTCACCCTATTTCTGCCCCCTTAGAAGACCTAAAAACTTTAAGATACAATTTATCTTGTTCAATTTATCAACAGGAGTGACATAACTCAATCCTGCATGTGTTCTAATTCAAATTTCGATTATGAGATTTTTTTAATTTTTAACCCTTTTTTTTCAACCCCTCAGACGGCCTGGAAAACTAAGTCGTAATATTTATCTTGTTGAATCAGTAGCCAGGAATAAAATATCTCCATCTTGTGGGTATACAAAGTCACTTTTTTATTATATGAATTTTTGAAATAATTCCACCCAATTTTCAACCCTTCAGACGACCTGGAAAACTAGTACATTCCACTCATTTCACCAAGCCATTCAATAGGCATATTTTATTGAAAGATGGTAGGTGTTGAAGAAAAATATGATAATTTAATTATTTCTCTCAGTGTACTTTGTGGATGTGGATAACTTCACACACATAAGTCATCTGTATATGTAACATTCGATTGAACACCAATCGATACTTATGATAATACTTTGACAATAATTCACCATTCTTCGGATCATAACTTCCATTTCTTGAATGAAATCTATTACTAAATGATCGCTACCTGTTTTTTTTAGCGCATCCAACCTTAACTAAAAAAAATTAAACAATTCGGAGCGACAGATGTTGTATTCTCTTTCCAGTTGTCTCGGTCTTTATTATTCAAGCTCTTTCTACTATATACAGTGTCACACATAAAGTCCGCATCAAATGGGATTTTTTTGTTCATCTCTTCAAGCAACTTTTGATATCTCCATTAGGTTGTGCTTTAAAAATGATGCCAAATGACATGCATATGACCGATCAAGTGATTTTTCTTCCCTGTCCAATTTGACTACAAAAAATGAAAAATTTAAATT